TTTAAAGTAAAACCATTTTGTAAATCCTTTCACTACCCCTCGCAGAAGCTCGAATTTATTCCAGAAAATTAGACAACAAATTTTCACTGTCTTTAACTCGGCAGCAGTCCGAATTTGCCCTGGGTTTTTCCATTCGAGGCTTTCGAAGCTTCTCGAGTCTCGAGAAAAGCCCAGCATATATAAATAAATATACAGGTTTATTAATAATAATTTAAATTTTTTGCTTCGTTTCACAATTTATTGCTTACTCTGAGTAAGGCTGTAATGTATTTTTAAATCGACTACAAATATTTGTTCAATGGTAAAAAATTTTAAAATCTGATGTAAGAGATTGGAAAACGAAAAATTAATACATTTAAAATTTCTGGGCATTTAGGAACTAATACGTGTACTCAAAAATTTAGTAAATGTAATATGTTTTCGATTAATAAAGTCATTCTGACTTCTCATAACGATTACACGTATTACAACGCGTACTATTACTTCATCAGAATGCAAAAATTTCAACGTAAGATGTACAAATTTTTATGTATTTATGTAATAGTGATAATTTTTAAAAAGTTGGAGATCTGAAAACCTTATTATTGAATATTTAAAAAACTAAGTTTCAAAAAAATTTATGTAATTAATAAACATTTTCTCAGTATTTAAAAAAAAAGTTTTGTTTTTCATTATTAATAACCATAAAAAATATATATTCTTTATTTTTCGAGAGAATCAACGAAAAACCTAGCCTATAAAATTAAGCGAGAATACAAACGAACTTTCCCTTATTTTGTGAGTGGCTGTGGAGGAGGGGTGCGCCGTGGAGGAGTATTTGTGGGGCTATGGCGGAAATGGGGTGAGCCTCACCTAAATCGCTGTATAATATAATGACAAGCTTTGAGTCTTCAAAATCCATAGTATGCATGTACAGGCGCTATCTGCCGGTGCACAGGGTTCTCGTTGACAGAGCTACTGCAGCACTGAGAGGCTCCCACCTCTTCACTTTAATCTCGACAGAGCCAGCAAGCACATCTCCCCGTGCTATATATCTGTAAGACTTACCTGAACTTTTTAGAGTTTTTTTCGTGCATCATTATATCTTTTGTACAACAATATATTTATTTTCTATAATAAACTCAAGTATTCATTTATTGTGTGTACCTGTCATCATCCTAAGTCCTAGTGAGTTTAACAGATTATAGGCCAAGCACACCTTCGAGGGGACGACTTGGTCGCATGATGAAAGATTTTAGCGGAGAAATACAGTGAGTATCCGTTCTGTTTTTTTTCTCTTTAGAGTGTTAGGTTTTGTTTCTTTTATCAGACTGTAAATGTGCTCGTGTGTTAGCACAAAGCAAGGTGCCTCTTTAGACGGGCCAAAATTGGCGGCGTCGTGCTATCATTGGCAAAGGAATTTTTTTGCATAAAAATGTTCATTAGATCCCACAGATTAAGAAACTTCATGTTGCCACCGCGCAACCTGGTCACAATTTGTTTAAACTAACTTTTTTAAAACAAATTAGTAAAAGTGATTTTTTCGATCTAAAAAAAATATAGTCAGTTTCTTTGAGTCATTCTGAACAAAAAACCAATTAGGATGTATATACCTAAACCCCACAGTTTTCGAGCAAAAAATTCCCAAAGATCTGAAAAATGCGAATTTTTCAATTTTCAGAGCGTTGGTAAGGAATGAAAATAAAACATTTTTGGAAAGTGCACCACGTAAACATAAAGTGTTAACCTTCCTCTACAACTTCCAAAAAACGAAAATTGAAAAAAGTAATGGCAACTGTTTTTTTACAATAAACATTTAAGCTATTTCCGTGCGTGCCCGAGCTAACTCCCAGTACTAGTGTATGACTATATATATCATCGACACGGCAAGCGCACTCGGGCTCGCTCTTTTGTGATGATATATATAGTCATACACTAGTATTGGGAGTTAGCTCGAGCGCAGTGTTTCTAATAACCAAGAGTTCTCGCGCATGCGCACAACGGTTTTACTCTCTCTCCAACCAAGCTAGCAGTGGAGGGAGAGCTTCCCCTACCTTTACCTTTAACCCAAGCTCCCCTCGCTCTAACACCTTAAATATAATCTTATATCTTAGAGGGGTATGCTCGACGTTGGTCGAGCGGGCTACGTCTTTTGCCCGCGTATAGAATCTGACCAATATGCCATCGATCCTTCATCAATGCATTTTTTTTTTTTTTTTTTTTTTTATCATTCATTCAAGCGTCATTTTTTAAAACAGTCATTTTATTTATTAAATACTTTTTTGAAAAGCATCACATTTTTTGTTAAAAAATAATCTTTAGATCCCTTTAAATTCGATTTATAATTTAAATAATGTAATGTTAAACAGGAAATATTTTTTGGTATGTTTATAATAATATTTTTGACTTGTTTATAAACTCTCTTTTCAAGTAAAAAAACTTTTTTATCATGTATTTACATGCTTCTGCAGCAAATAATATTTTTTCCATACCACCTTGCGGTAAGTATCTTGGTCTGTTGTTTTTTAAAGAAAAAATTAAATTCCGCAACAATACTTAGTTTTAAAAAAAACTAGATAATGTGACATAGAATTTAGTAAAATTCAATAAAAAATACCTTTCGCACTGTAATTATCTTTGCTGATTTATTTTTTCTTCAAATGGTTTCCTACGCCTAACTCCACTCGTAATCAATATTTCATATAATAAATATTTTTATTACTAAAGGAGACTAGTTGAGAGTTTAATTATTTAAAAAGTTTTTCAGGTTACTATGAATGGTAAATATTGAAAAAAAAATAGCTATTCCAGTAGTGCTAAGCATAACTTTAAATCAATTTACTAAATAAATTTTACTAAATTCTATGTCACATTATTTAGTTTTTTTTAAAATTAAGTATTGTTGTGGAATTTTAATTTTTTCTTTAAAAAACAACAGACCAAGATACTTACCGCAAGGTGGTATGGAAAAAATATTATTTGCTGCAGAAGCATGTAAATACATGATAAAAAAGTTTTTTTACTTGAAAAGAGAGTTTATAAACAAGTCAAAAATATTATTATAAACATACCAAAAAATATTTCCTGTTTAACATTACATTACTTAAATTATTAATCGAATTTAAAGGGATCTAAAGATTATTTTTTAACAAAAAATGTGATGCTTTTCAAAAAAGTATTTAATAAATAAAATGACTGTTTTAAAAAATGACGCTTGAATGAATGATAAAAAAAAAAAAAAAAAAAAAAATGCATTGATGAAGGATCGATGGCATATTGGTCAGATTCTATACGCGGGCAAAAGACGTAGCCCGCTCGACCAACGTCGAGCATACCCTTCTAAGATATAAGATTATATTTAAGGTGTTAGAGCGAGGGGAGCTTGGGTTAAAGGTAAAGGTAGGGGGAGCTCTCCCTCCACTACTAGCTTGGTCGGAGAGAGAGTAAAACCGTTGTGCGCATGCGCGAGATCTCTTGGTTGTTAGAAACACTGCTCGGGCGCGCACGGAAACAGCTTAAATGTTTATTGTAAAAAAACAGTTGCTATTACTTTTTTCAATTATGGTTTTTTGGAAGTTGTAGAGGAAGGTTAACAGTTCATGTTTACGTGGTGTACCTTCCAAAAATGTTTCATTTTCATTCCTCACCAACGCTCTGAAAATTGAAAAATTCGCATTTTTCAGATCTTTGGCAATTTTTTGCTCGAAAACTGTGGGGTTTAGGTATATACATCCCACTTGGTTTTTTGTTCAGAATGACTCAAAAAAACTGAATAAATTTTTTCTAGATCGAAAAAATCACTTTTACTAATTTGTTAAAAAAAAGTTAGTTTAAACATATTGTGACCAGGTTGCGCGGTGGCAACATGAAGTTTCTTAATCTGTGGGATTTAATAAACATATTTATGCAAAAAAATTTTTTTGCTATTGATCGAGCACGACGCCACCAATTTTGACCGTCTAGTTCCTTTTCTCTTATGTTCGACGTTGTATACAAGGTGAGCATGTGCCTTTGGTTAAAAAATGAGCTCGTGCAAACACCTCGTGTGCACACGGTTACGAAAAGCCTCCATCTTCGTATCACGTACACAAAGACTCACTCACGCTTGCATCGATTAGAACGTTTAGTGCAGAGACAAGAAATTTTTTTTCATCTGGAGTTTGGTGTTTTTCGATGTAGAAGTACCTAAAGGTACTTAACTTACAAGGAGTGCTGTAAGTTGTTACTCTCGTACTCTTTGATGTTTTACGGTAGTACCGTCTGTGTGTGTGAACGCGCCCATACATGAAATACATGCATGCTAATTTTTTCTTTGTTTCGTATATTCAGATTTTCATGCAATGCACCTCTTCTAAGGTGCACAACATCAGTTGCCAAACAGAGTAGCATTGTTTTACCAAGTGTATCACGCACATAGTCTATGACTGAAGAATGGAAGCGCTGCTCAACGGCAGCGTGAGTGTATACACAATTAATGTGTAAATAATTATTAAATAAAAAATTGTATTTATTTTTTATTACAGGAACATGATTATTAACCAATTTTTATTATAATTTCCTAATTACGTTATCATTACAGTAGTAACTTCTAAGGTTTTAACATCACTGACGCTGCCATTGCACGGTGCTTCAGTTCTTCAGTCATAGACTGTATGCGTGATACACTTGATAAAACAACTCTGAAACAGAGCAATGTCATACTTGTGAATTCAGAGCCTGTAACCACTAGAACACTACCTAGAGACAGCTGTTCAGATGCTTAAGTTGTTCTACAAACGAAAGGAGGTGAGAAAAGAAAATTTTTTGTTTTACTTTTTATTCAAATGATTGGACAGTGATCATATGTTAGGGAGGTTTGTTGAGACGTTGGCACTATAAAAATACTAATAGCCTCAATTTTTGGTAAATAATCTAAACAACTCAGAGTTATTATTCACAGTATGAGAAACTTCTTCGCAACATTTTCAACCGACCGAAAGCACCAAACGAGACCAAAAGACTACGTAGTCTCGCAATATTAGAGAGAAGCAGTCAGAGATCCAAGAATTCTGGAATACAGTTGTCGATAAGCATCTGTTGGATTTGCCCAATAAAACGGAACAATTTGCTGTTGCCATGTCCAGCGCAACAGAGAGAATCCCAAAATTCGTGTCTACAACTTCAATGACCAATGCACTTAACTCGCTGTCAACTAAAATTGACAACCTGACACGAGCCACAGACTCAATCAATAATGCTCAGAGAACTTTCAAAAATTCAAAGGTACCTCCTTTCATGCCTCTGCTCTTAATAACCAGAGATTTCAGAGAAGTCCTAATATACATGAAAGTATTACAAACAATAATTTTAATTCAACTTCTGGCCTTGACATTGATAATGACAACCGTAATCAAAGGTTACTCAATCAAGATATTCCAAAGGCCTTTAAAATTTTGGAAAACTTGAATATTTAATTAGATAGTCCAAGACGTTTAAGTGACTCAAGTGAATTTACTTCCAAACCGTTTTTTAAGAAAAGTTATGTGCTTACCTATTAATGTTTGGTTTGATCGTTTAACCTCAGATTTAAAGACTAGTGACCGTCTAGATATCATTGAAAATGATAACTTAAAAGAAAAATATACCTTAGCCGAAATTGAATCAAAGAAAAATTCAGTCAGGGAAATGGTAATTAATCACATAAAAGAATACTATCACAAAAAAATTGTAAATAAGCAGGATCCTAGAGAAATCCTAAATAAACTAAAAAGTTTTAGAATGGCTAAAGCAAATATCACAGTTTCTTCAGTCAGAGCGAATCTATATCGTCATAAAATAACATCGAAAGAAAAAGTCAATGACTTTATTGATAAGTTTGACAACGCAGTTAGAGAATATAAAAATTCAGACGGTATGGTACTTTTGGCTAAAGAAGAAAAGAAGTTGGCGTTCTATCAAGTGGTAGCAGACAGATTTTCAGAGCTGCGTACCACTAACACGGTTCAGCGTCATACTACAAACGCAGAAATGAATAAGTAAGTAAGTTTATTAAGCCATGTGGTTCAATCACGTTATGGCTGCAAAAAGTTTACAGAGTAATAAATTACAATAAGTGCGCAGTACAAAGAAAGAAAATTATAAATTACATAAAAATCAGAGACGATAAAGTGGCAGTATAGTCGTACATAATACATCTCACTTTTAAACATGATCACAGGTAGAATATGATGTAAATCGATATTGGTACTTAGAGTAAGTGTCGTAGTAATAGATTATAATATTAGTAAATATTTAAAGATTAACAAATATAGATGACTGACGCAGTATCAAATAGGAATTAAAGGAAGATATCATGAGTGAGTTCAAAAGTAATTCTATACAAACAAATAAAAATAAGAGTAGGATAAGATAGTATAGATACAGTAATGGATGAAGATAAAAAATTTAAAAGGTAATCATCAAATGAGTTTTAACATCTAAAATATCAGTGTACAACTTAAACGCTTATAGTCTGGTAGATAATATGTTCTCACTGACCCAATCACATTTATTCTGGCTCACGAGAAAGGCGAATAGCACTGTCTTAAAATTATCAATTTTGTTAGGATCAAATACAGTAACTTTTACCTTCTTTAAAAAAAGTGATGATTGAGCAATAAAAGAACGCCTGTTAAATTCAGTTTTGAACTATGGGATAAGGAAATGTTGTACTGGTAGTCGAGAAAAACGTCGAAAATCAGTAAAATCAGTAGTCAGGAGGTATTAGGTAGCAATATAAGTAGGGCAGCCAGAGGACATAACATAATAAGACTGTAAACCCAGGAAGTAGTCCCGTCGCCTGGGGGCACAGAGCCATTCTAACTTTAGGTGATAAGGAGTAACTCTAGAGCGCCAGCCTATGTTCCCAAAGACAAATCGAACGCATCCATTGAGAACACAATGTAGTCGGAGATTTAGCGTTTCATTAATGCCATGATATGTAGTCAAAGATAGGGAAAACTTAACTTTAAACCAATTACTTTTTTAACGAGAACGAGACGACATGCTTGTCAAATTTAAACTATTAAGGCAGTTCATGACGTCAGATAGCGTAGGCTCTTTTTTACTGTCACTCGACATTATCACTGTGTTCACAGAAAATACAGATAGGGAAGAATTGAGCAGTCGTCGACTTTTTGATGAATTCAGCGAGTCTGGAGATAATGACCTACGAGGTCTTTTAGAACTTATGTTAAATTTAGTAGTGACAAAATTATCAGAAAGAGGCGATAAAATTACATAATTACGCAGATAATTATAAGTAAGTACTGAGACAGAGCAACAAGAGAAAAGCGATGTGGGCTTACAATAATACCAGCTACTGTGGGTTCATTTGGAGCGACAAAGCTTGTAATATGCTGTATAGTGCACGCGCTTATTAGTTTTAGCTGCGGAAAATTTTAAACTTCGGCAGACAAAACATGACTTTTTATTCATAGTATATACGCTTATCTATATATAACGCAGTGTATGTACTGCCACAAAGATAAAATAGATAACAGAAATATTATTTATAGTATATAGAAGGTGTAACGTAAACAAACAAAATGTCTCAATTTGTAGTGGAAATAGTTAATTAAAAGTATAGTTGTAATGGCTTCACTAATTAAATTTGGACTTTGATAGGCGATAATATATAATTTACAGGTGTGTATTAGTCGACGTTCTCAACATTTTGACGAGAAACAATGTAACATAGATGTATGGGTGAAAAATAGGCAAAACGTTTTTTTAACAGATTAACTCATAAGTTGCACAGCACAGTCAACCTGTCGTAAGCCAAGGCAGGATCGCTTGTAAAAGATTTGCAGGAATGGCAAGAAGACGTTTGAGCGGAAGTCCAACAGATGCAGCAGTGTCGAAGATGGGCACTGATTATTCAAAGCCTCGTCGTGTGGATGCAGGTAATTGGATAATGGAAGTGTATAGGCAACTTTAGGTAGAAGCAGGAAAACAAACGGACTCCTTGGCTCAACAGGAGAGCTTCCACTTTTATGCTCTCAGTAAGTTAGAGCCAGACAGAAGTGTGAGTACCTGCAACAGTGTAAAATATCTCAACGAAGTACAACGAGGCACAGGTAAGATTAGTTTCAACATAAAATGTATGAAATAATTAGTGCGAGAAACACGTCTACTCTTACTCACCGCTTGATTGATAGAGCCTAGAAGATAGGAAAATATGCATTATACAGTTGCAGGTAGAAAGAAATTCTACAGAGATTAATTTGAAGGATGCCAAAGCAAATCTGGCTGTGGGAATTCAGAGATCAATAGATCGAACTGACAGTACCATCAAGTGCTACCGGTGCAACAAATTTGGTCATAGAATGAATTCTGGCCTGCTACGTACGTATGGACTTTAGTCGCCCGCTACGTACATATGGACTTTACTGTTTCTATTGTCAGGACTTTGAGTACCATAAAAAAGATTCTTACCCCAACAAGCGAAACAACAACAAAATGCAAAATTCAAGGCTATGTTGATAAGTTACCATGAAATCGATTTTCTCTTTAAACCTAAATTAACTTTGTTCCTGATTTTAGAGCTACTTATCACTTAGTAAAAGAATAATTTTAACAAATTTCAGAAAATAAAAATAATTCTGCCAATAAAGATGATCCTGCCTGTATCATCATTAATAATAAAAAAGATTTAATCTTCACACTAAATTCAGATGAACAATTTAAATTGATTTATGTGATGGTTGCAAAGCATATCTCTAATAATCTGATTTCGCTAAGAAAATTTGCTAATAGAGGGCTAGGTATATACTTAGATAAGAAAACTTTATAAATCTTCAACATACAAACAGGCACCACCTACATCTCGGAGATGTATGAAAAATCGAATTGGCTGATAGAGTTAGGAGTTGATAACAGTCAAGACAATATTCAGAAGAAAAATCATAATAAATATCAATGTTTAGCACAAATAGTTTCACTCAATGACTCCATAGCGCAACATCAGACGTACATCATAGATATTTACGACCGTCAAATTCAGAGTTATTGAATGAGTCTCTCATTCAGCAGTCTGAGATTAGGAGGGAAAAGAGAAATGAATCCGACAAATCAAACGAAAATTTAAAAGTTAATAATTCCTCAAATCAAAATGAATACACGTTTAGTGAAAATTGTCTCGACCTAGACAACTGTAATGCACAGCAAATAGAGAAAACGATATCAGATGTAAGCACTGATAGCTTCGTTAACATGTGAATTGATTAAAATAGAAAAGTTACCCCTTTCAGAAGTTAGAGTCAGAGCTAATAAACTGTTAGAAATAATAGACGTGGATACAATGGATCCCATAAAATAGGGCTCTCATCCTGGAGAAAATAGATTGATAACAGTATTTATAGATGACTGCTCAAGATAAGCCAAAGCATATTCCGTTGAAAATAAAACTCAGGCTGAAGACTATTTAGAATAATACTTGAAACACACTAAAGGTCTATTGAGTTCAAATGCAAAAGCAAGCTACATCTGAGCAGACAACGGTTCGGAATTTACGTGGGGATATTTTTCAGTTGTAACAAAAAGAGGAAACACACTAAGTGAATTTGGTCTACTTCACATTCCTGAATTAAACAGTACTGCAGAACACTTAGATAAATCAGCACAATGAATAATTATAGCACTTATGTTAGACTCGGGTCTGCCTGTCAGTATGTGGTCTTTGGCAACTGAGGTAGCCATCCGCTTACAAAACAGAACTCTTCACTATAGTATTGATTTAGAAACATCTGTCAGTAAAGATCAGAAGTCTCATCTAGACACAATCAAACGTTTTATATGCCTGGCTTACGCCAAAATTCCAATACCTCAAAATAAATTTTCAGAGAAAACACTCAAGGCTATTTTAGTAAGTTTTATCTCAACAGGATACCTACCGTGGCATCCACAAATTAAAAAAGTTTTTTTTCTCGTCATGTCATTCAATAAAAAATTAGTAAACAAAAACATTAAAAAGAACATAAAAGATTCAGGTAAAACTAAATTAAAGGGAAATTGAAAGAGGGTGAGAGTGATAAAACAAATATATTAAAGGATGATTCAGAGAGCAACATTTTCAATAGCATGTCTAAATCAAAGAGAGGCTTACCAAAAAATAGAGAGACCGAACAGATAACAGATGAGGTTAAGCAGAAAAAGAGGAAACTAACCGATAAAACAGCTTCTATCAACCCACCTGGACTCACCTGAGACAGGAGATGAAAGTCACACATTCAAAGCTTACCGAGTTTGCACTCTCAGAAAAGACTAAGAAAGTAAACATGAATTTAGAGGATGAGCTAACTCATACATTCATAGCTTAAACAAATCAAGATCCTATCAATTTTAGAGAACCCCTAAATTCAGAAAATAATTAAAAATAATTAAAAGCTAGTAGAGATAAGCTAAATCTATGGAGTCCAACAAAGTATGGGAAGTCACAGACAAACCTAGAGTAAATACGAATGGTACTAGAATGAACAAAATAAATTACAAATGAATATTTGAAAGAAAAATAAGTCCAGATGGAAAAACCATCTATAATACTTGTTAAGTTGTCGGAGGCTGTAAAGATAAAAGCGAATATGAAATGAGAGAACATACACTCTAGTCTCAAGATTGTCAGTTATGATAACGGCATTAAGGATTGTTCACATATACGTTTTTTAAATTTATCAGATGGACGTAAAGTCTGCTTTTCTTAACGGTACCTCAAAAAAAGCAATTTTTATGAAAATTCCTAATGAAATCGACTGTGATACTGATTTTAAAAATAAAAAGGTCTGTAGACTAAAAAGATTAATTTAGTCTAAGGATTAATTCAAAGCGGTGGAATGAACGCTTTTTAGAAAAAGCTTTGAAAATAGACCTGAAAAACAAGTAGCTATGGTACTAGTACTATGTGTAGAAGAAACCTTACTGGCTAAGAATGACAAAAATAAGCTTTTGGAGTTTAAAGTGATTTTAAGCACAACATTCCAGATGAAAGATTTAGGGGAACCAAAAAGTTTCTAGGCATCAAAATTTTCAGAGATAGGGGCAATCCTATTTTGACACTTTTTTAAACAGAATATACTGCTGAAATCCTAGAAAAATTTAACAGGATAGTAAACCTCAGAGATTTCCAATAATCGCTAGACTAAAGCTACTAAACCAGGTATATCCTTTGTGGTCAGCTGTTTGTACAGTAGATAACTAAAACTCACAGAGAATCATTGTAAAGAAGTCAGAAGAATGTTCAGATATATTAGAAGTACCCAAGAGCTAGGATTGATTTGCAGAGGTAAAAAAAAAAAAAACCTGTGTGCCATGACAGACACTTGCTTCGGAGATCTAGAGGATTCTACAACAACAGGTGATTTTATAATAAAACTGTTAAGAGACACTATGGTAAAACCACAACCATATGTCACATGACAAAATCAACCTGCCAAGCTAAGTATTTGGCTATGCGCGACATCTGACAAGAGTTAATCACTCTAGACAAAACAATAAAAAATATGATAGGTAAAACACTACATCCCGTCATTATTTGACGTTACAACCATTATATCTTTTGTGTAACAATATAATTCTTTTATGTAATAAACTCAAGTATTGATTTGTTATGTGTGCCTGTCGTCATCCTCAATCCTAGAAAGTCTAACATATAGTCATATATGTATGCTAGTGGGGCTTTGCCTCCTGCGTGCTTTATGCGTTATCCCCCTCCCGCTCTCCCCCACAAAAAAGTTTGTAATAAATAGCCCCCCCACAAAATAAGGTAAAATTCGATCGTTTTATACGTGATTTTGACATAGTTAAAAAGATGCTAGCCCCATATTTAGCCACGCCACGCCCCCTACATCCCCCACAGGTTTTTTCGGGCCCCCCTCCAGCCCCCACACTGTATTAACGTACCAAGCAGAATAATAAAATGTATGCACCTGATTATTTTAAACATATTGTAGTTACGTAATTTAACTTGTATCACTTAACTAGGATTGCTTGCATATTGATACACCCAGCACATATAATTACTCTTACACCTTTATTAAGAGGTGCATAGTAGCAAATATATACACCTATAAATTACGTGTAGTTATACTTTACATATGTTAGTGGGGCTCCGCCCCCTGCGCGCTCGGCACGCCAACCCCCACCCCCTTGTTGTGTTATAAGTCTAATTTTTCAAAATAAACTTTGCATTGATATCTTATAGAGCCTTACAAAAGGTTAAAATTAATTGTTAGTATGAAACAAAATATGTCAAAGTATATTTGACTGAATTCGGAAGACTACGGCATTTTTCGAAAATACTCGGGAATACATGTTCTACGCTAGGAATGGATTACTGGGCTGCTTTAAAGGAAATATGAAGAACAAGCTGCTAATTTTGAATAAAAGTAATAAAGTTTAACTAAAAAAAGAGACGTGCCCTTGACTTTTTTTTTTGGTGGGCTTTATTATACTTTCTAGTGGCCCCCTTTTTTAAATGAGCTGTCTATTCTGTATGTGTCAATAGATATTTTTTAAACCTCGTTCTTAACTCTTATAACTATATCTGCCCCCTGCGTGCTCTGTGCACCAACTCCCGTAATTGCAAATATAGATTCACGAAGTATGGAAAAAAACACGAATTATACTAAGGAGGTTCGGTAGTGTTAGCGGGGGGAAATCTCAGAGAGGCAAGGGTAGGGAGAGCGTCTGGCAACGTTGTGAATTTTTTCGGCTGCTGGCACGTCGTCTACTGTTGTTGTCGTCTACTGCTGTTGTCGTCGTCTACTGATGACAGTGTACTTATTTATTCGGTTGAATTTTTTAAAATTAAATTTTCAATTAAAAAAGGAGTTTTTACTATTCATTACATTTCAAAGCGCGCGCTAAAAGCAGCGTAGCCAAGTCGTCTGCTGTGAGCACATTTTTTGCTATTTTTTAATAGAAATTTGTGGTAGGGCTCTCTCAAACTTTGACAAAATATTATTTTGACAATAATCTTTTATTTAAAAAAAAAAGCAAGTTCATTTAGCCGTTTTTTTTTAATGTGAAATTTAAGTGATTTCTCCATAAGCCTACATGTTAAAATATTGTGTTTTCAGGTCAATATATCTTGAAAACGGTGTGGTTAAACCCTTCAAAAATTTAGCTGTAATTTGATACTATTATCCCAAAGAACATATCAAAATTTCAAAAATTTTCATCATAAAAAATTATCACTACCGAACCTCCTTAACTGTTACTTAAAATTGATATATGTAATGAATGTATATTGGTTATAATTATTAACATGAATTTTTAACAATCATTTTTTATTTTCCCTGACTTATGCCTAATTTTTATATATTCAAAACAACAACTTATTAAAAGATTTCAAATATCGTCAAAAATTAAAAAATTACGATATTGTCAGAATTACAAACTGATTTTGTTTTAACAGTATCGTTAGTTGATTGGTTTTTTTCTCTCAATTTTTTATAACTAAAATTTTGGCCCATTTGTATTTTTTTCTTCATTTACTTTTACTTCGTTAAATTCATTTTAAATAGTTACCAAATGTCTAAACAAAAATGTGACAGTGAATTAGACTTCCAAATTGCAACGAATAAAAAAATTCTTCCTTTTCCATTTACAGAGAACTTTCTAACAGTAGCTTGGACAGGTATTGCTTCTATTCTGCTTCCAAAGGGAATGACCACTCACAGAACTTGTCTTTGACTGAAGCACTGTAGAAGGTGCGTTCTTCCAGTTTGAGCCAAATAAACAAAAATTACGTAATGTAGAAGTAATTATTTGGGATAAAGCTTTTATGATACCGAAAAAAGCGTTAGAAATCGTCGATAAGACTTTAAAAGATTTATTTAGTAGTAATAAACCTTTTGAAAATAAAATGATAATATTAGGTGGAGACTTTCGTTAAATTCTCTGAGTAGTAAAAACGGAAACAAAATTACTATTGTTCAAGAAACCATAAAATTTTCCAATTTTTGGCCTTTGTTTAATATTTTTATTTAAGAAATAATACACGTTTGATTGATAAAAAATTTTCTTTATTGCTACTGGATATAGGAGAAGGCAAAATTAAAACTTTTAGAATTCCTCAGACATGGAAAACAAATGATATATGTTCTAAAATTTTTTAATAATGATGAAGATTCTTTGATAAAAAAAGCTATATTAACATTTCACAATGAATACACACATTTTTTGAACAAAAAAATTTTAAATAATATGGTAGGAACTTTAGGAACGTATTATAGTATTGATAAAGCAACTCACAAAGGAGTAGATAATTCAGATGATCATATTCATATTAATTTCCCTACAGAGTATTTAAATAGTATTAAAGAAGGTCTTCCTCCACACGAATTAAAATTTGAAAATTGACGCTATTTTTATGTTAATACGAAACTTAAACATATCTGAAGGACTTTGCAATCGTACAAGATTACGAATTACAAAATTATTCAAATAAAACATCGAAGCTGGAATCATCATAGGTGAAAAAAAAAGAAATAATGTCTTTAGTTCAAGAATAACACTAAATACAAACAATCTTTCTTCGCTACCATTTATATTGTACAGAAAACAATTTTCATTAACCTTAGCTTTTTCTATGACTATCAATAAATCTCAAGATCAAAGTTTTGATGCCGTAGGATTAGAATTACCTTAGAATTAGGATTACCTTAAAAAACCATTATTTTCTCATGGGCAATTGTATGTTGCATTGTGTAGATGTAGAAACCCAAAAAAAAATTTTCATTCAAATTAAATCAAAATACAAATTTGAAATTGAAAACATTGTTTGGAATGAGATTTTAGAGTAACAAAAAAACTATTCCATAGTTCATTACTATTTTGATACTTTCTTGCAAACTTTTTCTTTTATCA